TATATATATATATATATATATATTCGTAAACCCTAAACCCTAAACCCTAAACCCTAAACCCTAAACCCTAAACCCTATTCTTACCAAATTGATTACTAACAAGATCAATAGCAGCAGCAGCTCTGCTGCTAAATAATTCACCAAGACGCTCAACTGTCTTTGCATCTGCTGTTAATCTGTTGCGGAAATGAGATAGACGAGCAGCAAAAAGGGTTACAGCCGTCTTATGCCTGCATATACACCCTAAACCCTAAACCCTAAACCCTAAACCCTAATTAACCCTAAACCCTAATTAACCCTAAACCCTAGGAATTATAAAGAATAAAGAGAGACATTAATAACAGATTAAGGAAATGACAAACATATAGGCAGCAAATAGGATTACGTGTCTGTAGACGTATATATAATCTCTAAACCCTAGAAACCCTAAACCCTAAACCCTAAACCCTAAACCCTAAACCCTAAAGTCGCATATATGATGGGCACGACTAAAAAGGAGACAAAAAAGGAGACAAAAAAGGAGACAAAAAGAAAAAGGAGACAAAAAGGAAAAGGAGACAAAAAGAAAAAGGAGACAAAAAGAAAAAGGAGACAAAAAAGGAGACAAAAAAAAAGGAGCAACATACTTATCTAATTCTTTATCAAGTGTCTCCTTCATTCTTCCTAATGTGTCTCTATTTTGCTGCTGCTGCTGCAGCAGCAAACGATGTTTTGGTGGATTTTGTGCTGCAGCAAGCAGCAGACTCCTTGCTTCTGCAGCAAGAGCAGCAATATTATCTGCTGCTGCTGTTGCTGCTGCTGTTGCTGCTGCTGCTGCTTGTTGCTGCTGCAGTCCACCTAATGGTCCGTGCAACAGATCTGCTGCTCTTGATGGTCTTGTTGGATCTGTTGGTGTTGCTGCTGCTGCTGCTGCAGCAGCAGCAGCTGCTGCTGCTGCTGCACCTCGACCAGCAGGAGATGCAGCAGCAGCAGATACTGGATCTTCTTCTGCTGCTTCTGTTGCTGCTGCTGCTGCTGCTGCTGAGGAGACACTAGGGAATAAAGAATCAGCAAGAGAGATAGGAGGGGGCAGCAAACCAACACCATCACTATCCTCATATGCAGCAGCAACAGCAGCTTCTGCTGCTGCTGCTGCATCTGCTGCTGCCGCTGCTGCTGCTGGATCTTCTCTTGCTGCTGCTGCATCTTCTTCTATATGCCCTGATACAACAGAGGGCTCATCATCATCATCACCAACATCTTCTGCTTCTGCTGCTGCTGCTGCTGCTTCTGCTGCTGCTGCATCTGCTGCTGCTGCATCTGCATCTGCCGCTGCTGCTGCTGCTGCTGCATCTGCTGCTGCATCGGAGGGCCCTGCGGGAACCTCTACCAACTCTTCGTCGGCAGCAGCAGCAAGTCTGTAATTTGCTGCTGCTGCTGCAAGAAGCAGCAGCAGCAGCAGCAAAGATCGTATACCATGCAACAACGAATTCATCTCCGCTGCTGCTGCTGCTGCTGCTGCCGCTGCTGCTGCTGCTGTTGCGTGAGGGCTGCACGCTTTAAATGTGCTGCTGTTGCCTAGCTGCTACTCCTGCTGCTGCTGCTGCTGCTGGTGTGAACATCATGGGCATTACGTCTCCGACCACTGGTCTGTTGCTGCTGCTGCTTCCGCTGTTGCTGTTGCTGTTGCTGCTGGTGTTGCTGCTACAGCTGCTGCTGTCGTTGCAGCAGCAGCCGCCTCTGATTGTGTTCCTGCTGCTGCCCTTGCTGCTGCAGACTTTGCTGCTGCTGCTGCTGCAGCAAGAAGATGCAAGATATAAAGAAGGGGAGAACAAAAGTAGGGGAACGTCAGGGATCGGGTGAGGAGAGCCAGGTGCTGTAGAGCGCCCAAACCCTAAACCCTAAACCCTAAACCCTAAACCCTAAACCCTCAATCTTAAATCCTGATTGAATACTTTAAGGATATACTATAAAGCACAAATACAAGAAGGATAGCAGCAGCAACTGCAGCAGCAGCTGACACCAGCGGCATGTGCTGCTGCTGCTGCTGCTGCTGTTGTTGGCAGCAGCCGGGCTGCTCCTGTATCGAGACGCTAAACCCTAAAGCATAAACCCTAAACCCTCAATACCCATATAAGAAAATAAATTGATTTTCTTCTTTGTGTCATTGAGGCCCTACACACCTTTTCTTCTAATTAGGGTTTAGGGTGTTGTTGCTGCGTGAGGGTTTAGGGTTTAGGGTTTGGGGTTTATACCGAGCGAGAGCAAGGGGGGCGCTGCTGATCTACGCTACAAACACTAAACCCTAAACCCTAAACCCTAAACCCTAGGGCCTATATTTGGTGTTTTTATTTTTCAATCTCTAGTGTATAAACCCTAAACCGTAAACCCTAAACCCTTATCCTTCTCTACCCCCAACGACCTCAACACGGGGATCGCTCCCCCCTTCGCAGGTACAGGTTTCTCCCTTCGAGCTAGGGTTTAGGGTTTAGGGTTTAGGGTTTATGGTTTAGGGTTTGTCTTCTATACCATGCCGAGGCCTTCCTTCTGGTCAAGGGTCACGAAGCCCAAGACACCCCATATAAAAGGGACAGAAGACGAAGCAGCAGCAGCAGCAGCAGCAACAGCAGCAGCAGCAGCAGCGGCAGCAGATGCAGAGGTAAAAGAAAATGCAGCAACAACGACAGCAGCAGATAAAGAAAATGTAGCAACAACAGCAGCAACAGCAGACGATGCATGCAGTTGCTGCAGCGAAGCAGCAGCAGCAATAGAAGCATCTATAGATATCAATGACCCAGCAGCAGCAGAAGAAGCAGAAGCAGCAGCAGCAGCAGCAGCAGCAGATGAGGAAGCAGAACGTATATGGATGGAGACAGCAGCAGAAGATTTGCTGCTGCAGCAAGGAGACACTTTATTAAGCGGAGACACCTGGAGGCTCCTTAGCTTAGTAGGGGGAGGGGACACTTTCTCCCTGTCTCCTGAGGAGCAGCAATTTGCTGCTGCTGCTGCTACTAACCCTTATACCAGCAGCACTTGCTGCTGCTGCACCCACAGCAGCAGCAACAGCAGCAACAGCAGCAGGGATGTGGACTCTTTTCCCCATACCTGCTGCCTTGACGATTCCCCCACTCATCACCAGCAGCAGCAGCAGCAGCAGGAGATATTAGATGAAGAAGGTACATGTTCAGCAGCAGCAGCAGCAGCAGCAGCAGCAGCAGCAGAAGGTGTATGCATGCATAATGATAATAGATGGATATTAAGCAAAGAAGAAATAAAAATAAATAAAGAAGATAAAATTTTATTCTCTTTTTATCATTCAGGGTGTATATACACCGCAATTAGACCTCTGCATGCAAATGCAGCTGCAACTGCAGCTGCAGCAACAGAAGGAGCAGCAGCAGGAGCGGCAGCAGCAGAAGGAGCAGCAGCAGAAGGAGCAACAGCAGAAGCAGACGCAGAAGAGGAGGCATGGGAAGTAGTTGCCACACCCAACAGCAGCAGCAGCAACAACAGCAACAGCAATGACAGCAGCAGCAACAACAACAAGAGCAGTGACAACAATGACAGCAGCAGCAGCAGCAACAGCAGCAACAGCAGCAGCAGCAGCAGCAAGAGGTTGATAGTAAAGAAGGTCCCCTTTGATGGTAATTCAAGTCTTCCTGTTTGGTTGCTGCGCAGCATTTGTTTAGCTCGTCTTGCTGCTGCATCTCCTACCTTCCTGCAGCAGCAGCAGCAGCAACAACAACAGAAACAGCAGCAACAGCAGCAGCAGCAGCAGCAGCAGCAGGAGTGCCGTGCTCGTCTCTTAGTACCTGTCTATGATATTCATATAGCAGCAAGTGCTGCCTACTTTGTCTTTGAGTTACCAACTGTCTCTCTTGCTGCGCTGCTGCAGCAGCAGCAGCCTCTTCCTGCTGCTCTCTTCTGCAGCAGCAGCAGCAACAGCAGCAGCAAATGCAGGAGTTGTTGCAGGAGCAGCAGCAGCAACGGGGAGAAGAGCAAGAATATATTATGTGCATGCAATGAGCGCATGTTCTTGTTCTTGCTGCTGTGCTGCCTGCTGCGAATAAAAGCAGCAAGACTATCTGCTGCTGCTGTGTCTCCTTCCTGTCTCTTTCTTAGCAGCAGCAGCAGCAGCAGCAGCAGATGCTGCTGCCCACTGCAGCTGTCTATAGCCCTCGATCCCTTCAAAGTACCACATACACCTGAACAGCAGCAGCAGCAGCAGCAGCAGCACGAAGACACGGAGCAGCAGCAGCTGCTGCTACAGCAGCTGCCAGAGAGTTGTTGGGTCCCCCCTGAGCGGAGGGATGACCAAATAGAGAACAACTGCAGCAGCAGCAGCAACAACAGCAGCAGCAGCAGCAGAGGGCGTCTCTACACCCCAGAAGAAAACGAGGCAGCAATTATGTGGGGTGTTGGGATCTGTCTTGCTGCATTCCTGCTGCTGAAGCAAAAACAGCAGCAGCAGCAGCAGGCGCAACAACAACAAAAGCAGCAGCAGCTGCAGCAGCAGAAGCAGCAGCAGCAGCAGCAGCAGGAGTACAAGCGTGAGGCGTCTCTTGAGGGTTTACTAAGAAGAAGTCGTTCTTCCCTTGACGGAGCAGCAATACCAAGAACAGCAGCAGCAGCAACAGCAGCAGCAGCAGCAACAGCAGCAGCAACAGCAGCAGCAGCAGATGACGGATCGTGGTATGAGCAAGACACTATACAGATACGAAGGAGACGCAGCTGCGGCTTGGGGGATCGCTTGCTGCTGCAGCAGCAAGATGATTCTGCTGCTGCTGCTGCTGCTTCTGCAGAAACAGCAGCAGCAGAATCAGCAGCAGCAGCAGCAGCTTCATGCCAGTTATATGTATCAACATGTGACGAAGCATGCGCTGGAGACACCTGCCGTGTATCTGCTGCTGTTCTTGCTGCTGCTGCTGCTGCTGCTGCTCCCTTTATGAAGTATGACGCAAAGGGGACAATCAGCAGCAGCAGCATAATAGAAAGTTTCCCGCTGCTAAAAGGAGACAGTAAGGGTATTTTGCTGCTGCAGTTGCTGCTGCATGCGTCTCCTCTATCTAGGCCCTCCTTATTAGATGCATTGGCTCATCCCTGGTTAGCTGATGTTGCTGCTGCTGTTGCTGCTGCTCCTCCTGCTGCATTATGTTGCTGCTGCAACAGCAGCAGCAACAGCACCAGTTGCTGCAGCAACAACAGCAGCAGCAGCACCAGTTGCTGCAGCAACAACAGCAGCAGCAACGGCAGCAACAGCAACAGCAGCAGCAATTGTGCTGCAGCAGAATGGATACATAAACAGGCAATTGCTGCTGTACAATTAGCAGCAGAGAAGCAGCAAGGAGAAGATTTGCTGCTCTCCTTATTTAATAAAATTGAATTATCTTCTCCTAGGTCAAAAAGCAAAACCCTAAACCCTAAACCCTAAACCCTAATTATTACCCTAATATATATTAGGGGAATAACGCCAATAGCGGCGTATATAAAGGTCTCCTCTTGTCAAGGGTTTAGGGTTTAGGGTTTGGGATTTATAAGGTGTACATGGTGACTGGGTGTGTAAACACTCATAATTCATTTTCTAGGGTTTAGGGTTTAGGGTTTATAGGGTCATCGGCCGATTTCAGGTGTATAGGCAGCTGCAAATGCAGCAACAAACAAACAATAGTACAACACTTTTACTTATTATTTTTATTCTTTAGAATTATTATATATATATATATATATATATATA